TATATTGATTAAACTTTTCAAGTCGGTACATTCCCAAACTAAAAAACTTCAGGGCATATTTTTGTACAAAATGTCAATAATGTCCTCTGCTTCAGGGAATTGTACACTCTGGGCTCTGTCTATATAAAAGCCACTAACTTTGTTGCTTTCTCTAACCACCCAAAACAACAAAAATCAATACATTCTTAATCTCTCTCCTTCACCTTCTCTTTCGATTCTCGTTTCTACTATCATGGGACTTTCTCAGGAGGACAGAAACACTTCCACATCGTCAAACCCTAATCTTCCTAATCCTTATAACCCTAATCTATCCTTTCTCAAGACACATAATAGTTCTTACATCTACCACGGACCACAAGTTCGTACTGTTAAAGAGTCCATAACATCTTCCACCAATGCAACTTTTTTGGTCTATCAAGGCCCAAATAGTTCAATCCTTGTAAACCAACCAGTTTTCCCCGCAACTACCGAATCGGCTCAACGTTACCGTTGCCAGTCTCTTTTCTAAACCAAAACAGAATGCGAGCAAGAAGAAGCAAAGTTAAGGGACGAAGTTGGGATTATGGCCAAAGTTGTGGGGTTGTTTTGCAATTATGGTTGTTTGTAGTATATGGTGTGAGTGAGTGCAGACCGGTTCAAGCTTTACTCTTTTTGAGAGTTTGGTTGTAATAATGTTACAACTTGAATTTGTGTGCGTGTCTGTTTGTAGCATGTAAAAAAGTACGTATATGTAATTAACCTGATCTTTATGTATGTATGTTTTATCTTCAAGATGGGAAAATTATACAAAAAAGAATGAAAAACTTTAAACGAATGTACACGAACTATCCGAATTTCTAAGAAAATATACAAATTAACTTTATATTTTGGCCAAGTTGAATACAGACGATAATTTACACTGATGGAGTTTATATCCCTTAATGGCCCGCTTATATTCCATTGAAATTGTGTGGCATGGCATTTACAATAACTTTTACACATCATGGACCATCTTGTTCCAAAATCAATTCCTCTCCCCTAAAGTATTCTATCTTTGCTTTTCTCTTCATTTTATCTTCTGTTTTGCATCTGAATTTCACATATACAGTATATGTCCGGGAAATATTTTATCCTTTCTGTCTTATTATTTTGTAATTTTGAACCTGGTTGCATGCAATATCATCATCATTTATAATGATACATACAAGACTACAAACAAAAAAATAAAAAATTGAACTTTCCCTTACAGTTTTATTTTAAAAAGAACATGGTTGCACCTGTGGACTTTAACCATCTAATCCAACTAAAATTTCTTTTCTAGATAACACATATGTACGTATTTTCCAAAAAAAAATAAGAAAACACCTTCGTACAATTCATTTCATCACACCTGAATATAGTGCTTCGCATTTATCATATAAGGGATATTTATATGACTTTGGTGAAATGTATTTGCAGAGAACTTTTTTATTTTGTTAAAAAGAAAATTAAAAATGCCGTTTTAGTTAGGTTTTAGATGGAAGGGTTAAGTGTATGTATACTAGCAAATGTGTATAGATTAAATTGAGCAGAAATTAAAAATTGTTGATCAGATTATTTAGAAGTGCAAAATTTAATAGCAAAGTATACGATCGAGTATATCACTACAGATATATTATATGTCCTTAACTCGTTTTGTAAATACGATAAAAGTTTGTGACTTGCTCAGTTGCTTCTGCACATTTTTTCATACAGGCTTATTTATCATTACAAAGAGTTAAGACTTAAGAGCATAGAAAACTACATTACTAGCATTAGAAACCGCAACACTTTATCTTATAGAAGCTTCAACTTATATGTCCGAAACACTTGGTAGTAATTAAACCTTAACTCAAGTGAAAGCCATTAGATATTTTATAACTTACCCCTTTCTTCAACATAATTTGATTTTTACCCCGCTTATTTGCGAAATTCCTTTATAAGCACCCCTCCATAACGCTGGAACGCCTCGTCGCAGCTAATAGCTCGTTCTTTCTGCTTCTCGAACCGGTCAGCAAGGCCAATATAAGGACTGGTACCACCAAAGTATTGAGGGCGATAATCAACCGGTTTTAGTATAGTTGACTCATTTGAGTTCTGATAAAGGACTTGGCGAGCAGTAATAGTACTAGTGGTCTCTTTTACGGTATAAATTCTTGGACCACCATATTTGTAGGAATTTTGGTTAAAACGAGAAGTGAACTCGTCACTAGGAGCATACGGTTTAGGGGTTACTTTATGGGACTTACCATACGCGTTATCGACCATTTCAATAGCCTTTTGAGCAATCCTTGTATTCTTATCATTTTGAGACACTGCCATTGAAGAAAAAATAAGAGAAGG